TGTTAAAAATAAAAGGACTGACATTTCCAGAAATGCTGAAAATTAAAAATTATTTTTTGTTTTTAGTGTTTTTAAAATACCCCAAATACCTTTTTTAAGAAAGAAAGGAGGGACAAAAGGAGGCAGACAGGCCTTTACCTTTATGGCTTCGCACAGCCTCCACGAGGTACATGGCTAAGGTTGCTCTGTTTTTGTTATTTTCATTCCTATCCTTCAGAAGGCAACAAGGCTACTGGGGTTAAAAGTCAGGGACGCCAAGCCAGGGTGACCTGCCTGTGATCCCCGGCCAGACAGTAAGAAAACCAGGACAGCTCCCCCAACTTCTGGCCTGTGACCTCCACAGCAACCCCCCCCCCAATTCATTACTTCCTGGTGAGTAGGTGGCACCCTGCCCCTTAGCACACGAAAACAGCCTTGGACCAGAGTGCTTAGGATAGTTATGAGAGAGAGGCAGGAGCCGGGAAAGTGATTCACCAGGAATGTGCAGGCCAGGCCTTCCCAGAACACACCTTCTTCCCTGAGCTTTGCCCTCATCCAGGTGGACAGGGAGGTGCAGACAGCCCACACCAGATAGGGATGAGAAAGAAAGAGGACTTCTACGGGGCCCTGCAGGACAGACAGCAGGCTTCGTAAGCAGGTCTGGCTTTCCTGTGAAATTTCCCTCAGCGTCTAATGACTTCAGGGGTAAGTGTGGAGGGCGCGCCATGGGGCAGGTGAGAAGCCCAGATCTTCTGTAAGGAAGGAAATAGCAATCATAAGGGATTGAGCATCTTTCCCTCTGGGGGAACCTGACTCCATGTGTCAATGGAAACATAAAACACAGGTGGAAAAGGGCCCGGGAGAGGCTCACTATGCAGGTGAACACGAGGCTGGAGGCGGTGACACTGTTAAAGTGGAGAATGAAAAGGATCTGGCTGCCCCAGAGGCCAACTACGCTAACACTGGAACCTTGGAAGCTAATCTGTGGACTGGGTAGCGATGCTTGGAGTGTTCAGGAGGATCCACGAATGAGTGTGGAGAGAGTGTCACACGGCAGGTGCTTGAATCATGAAACAAAAGAAAGGAAATATTTTACTTGTTTGCTTAGTGCCAGTGTTTTTCTGCCTTTGATTAAGGAGCTCAGTTACCCAACAACTGTGTGAGCATCCTCTGTAGGTCTGGCCCCCACGGCCGTGAGCAGGGGAAGGACCCCCCCCATGATGCAGGGAGCCCCCACAGTTCCTTGTTGTATGCCTTTGTGCACCCCTACTCTCACCAGTAAAACAGAGGCAGTGTCATTACATCTACCTGGCTCATACAGGGACAGTCCCCAGAAAGAACATACACAATGCATTCTTGAACCTGTGTGGCTTGGACACTTTTAGGTTGAAAGGAGAGTGACTTCAGGACAATCTCATGAATCCCTCCTCGTAGACCCAGCTCTTGAGAAACCTGTTCTGCTGAAAATAGAACCTATCCCAGCAGTGGGAACAGTAACAAAGCTGAAGCCACAGACCAGCTGCCCAGATGGCCGATCTCCAGCCAGGACAGGGACACTGGGTCTCCCCCCGGGAGGCCCCACCAGTATGGTCCAGGAAGAGCACCAGCCCAAGCCAAGCACGAGACCAGCTCCACCGGGCCTTGCTGAGGGACCCACGCAGGTCACCAAGTCTGGATTTCTTTCTCTTAGTAACCACAGCTGTAGAGCCAGGCTTACACCTGGGCACAAGCAGCCCCTCGGCCCATGCTGGCCTCTTCTAGCCCCAACCCCTCTCTAGATTTCTTACCCACAGAAACCCTGAGAAAGTATTGGTTGATTTATACCAAAAAGTTTTAGGATAATTTGATATGCAGCAAAAGACACTAATACAGCGTGTGTATAGCTATCCATGCAGCAAATGTATACATAAAAAGGCCTGAGACGACCCATAGCAAAATTTTAGGGCAGGAAGTCTGCAGAGCCAAAAAGGCTTGTGGGGAAAGGCTCTCAAGACACACATAAAATGGAAGATTGTTCAGGGCAAACTACTCTGTATGATACTATAATGTCAGATACATGTCATCGCATATTTGTCCAAACCCATGGAACATGCAGCACGGAGAGTGAACCCCAAGGTCAACTGGAGACTTTGGGTGATGATGATGTGTCGTGCAGGTTCATCAGCTGTAACAGACGCACAGCTCTGGCAGGGACGCTGAGTGGCGGGGAGGCTTTGTGTATGGGGCGCGGTGGGGGAGGTATATGGAATTCTCTGTTCTTTCCATTAAACTTTACTGCTGTAAACCTAAAACTGCTCTAAAAATTAAGTCCTTTAATTAGGAGGGAGAAAAGCCACAGGAGGATAGCAGCAAGGGGGAAATGGCCCGGTGACAACATCAGAGGGACGGAAGAGGGAAAGTCTGTGGACTTTTGCTGGGGACCTGCATTCTGAACAGTCTTCGCCTTTCAGCCTGTGTGTGGCCGACTCCCCTCCCGGTTGCTGGGCTCCCGTGCACGGATATCATTGCTCCAGGCACCCTCATTCTCCCCTTTCTTTCCTCGAACAGGGAAAATAGCATTTCCTGCCTAATGAGGGCTGAACACATTGTCCCTGGGCCCTGCTTTCTTCTGGGTCATCCAGGGATCCTCAGCCCCAGCAGCAACATCTGGGCTGCTTTCCTAAAGTATCAATATTTATGAGGTGATGGTATCTTCATTTAGATTCCCTAGATACATCAATAATTAATACACTTACTAAAAACCAGACGTCGCCTCGTCAGAGTCCTACCAGAGCGGCTCTGCTCCCCGGTAACCACACTCATCTTTCCAAAAACACATCACTCCTCCACCAAGAACATTCAAGATTCCCACTACCTTTCTTTTGTCCTCTCCCTTGGTTTTCATCTCTCCTGAACGATTTCAGGCAGACCTTGTTTCGTTCAGGGTCTAGAAAGCATTAGACAGGATCCTCGAAAGGGAGGACGGAATGGCCTCCCTCCGGCCTCCAGAGAGGCTGGAAGCCCCCACGGGACAGAGGCTGTGTCGACAGTCGGCACGTCCTCACGCCCAGGGTCAGGACCATCTTCACTCCCCACAACAGCAATTCCCAACCTTTGCCACCCTCTGTGTGCCTTTTCCACCCCCAATTCTCCTTCAACTTCACAAAGAACCTCCTGTCTCAGAAAACAAGGGAAATTGTCATATAACACCCTCAACAGGTTAGAAACTTCAGTGATCGTTTTGCCCACTCCCCTCCTCCCGGGTTACTAATCTGGACACAGAAAGCCATCTGCACCAGGCCTGGGGGAGGGATACCATCTTAACTCCTAAGGCCCACCGGCTGCCCTCCCCCCCTCCATCATCTCTCATTTTTCACTTATCCCTAACTAATACATTCTGAAAGTACTTCCCTCTCCATTTTCACTTCAGCCTACGCACTTGGGCTTCCATCCCACTGTCCCACTAAGACGGCTCCTGCAGAGGTCACTAGTGGCCTCCTGGTTGTTAAATCCAACCCCATGTTTTATGTCTTGTCTTAAGTAACTTCTTGGGAGCATTTAGTACCACTCACCACTTTTTAAGTTTTAAGACTCTGTGCTCTTTTGGCTTCCATGGCGCCCCTGTCTGCTATTCTTCCTCCTACCTGTGAGATCTTTCTCTCCCACTGTCCTGGCAGGCTCATCCTTGGATGCTGGTGACCTCTCCCTCCCTAGCCCACCCACAAGGTTCTATCTTTGACTTTTCTCTGTTCAAACTCAAGGTACTTAACCTTGGAGAGTGACATCTACTTTATAGCTTTAACTGCTACTTGGATATTGACAAATCCCAAATCTAAATGCTCAGGCTAGATGGTCTTCTCCCCCCAATGTCAGTGGGAATGCTCAACAGTTGGACGGCTCCATGAACACATCCAACGGTCGCCTCAGGTGAACATGTCCCCACCTCAACTCCACCACCTACCTCTGCCTCCAATCCTGTCCTCCCTGCTGTATTCTCATCTCGGGGGCTGGTGTCACTATCCTTTCAGTTGGATCTGGTCACTTTGTCGAATAAATTCATCCTCCTCACTCCCATTCCAGCCATTACCTTATTTCTTATTCTCAGAATTTCTCACTGGGATCCCTCTGATGACCAATTTTTTATGTCCTCAATTTATTTTCTTATCTACTGCCTATTTTTCCACAATGGGAATTTATTAATACATTTAGTATGAAGAAAACACTATTTTAAAGTAATGCCCATGCAATATTCCTGCCCACTAGTTCATGGCTATCCAAACCTGTGAGCAGGATGAGCCAGCTTATAAAGCTGGACACTCCCCACACTCCCAAAATATGTTCCCACCTCCCTGCGTTACGTTCTGTCCCGTGCCACTTATAGGGTGGACGACTCACAGGCATAACAGGAGACAGAAGGAGAAACTCAAACTCAAAAGTCAAGATTCAAATCCAACTTCTGCAAATAAGCTGTGTGACGTGAGTGGTTACTCAGTCTTGGAGCCTCAGTTTCCTCACCAGGGACATGAGGATAGTATCGCCTGTGCTCCAAGCCTGTGAAGGATCAGTAAGATTCCTTATGTGACAGTGTTCTGGCACCGCTCCTCTCAAGAGGAAGCTCTGAGCCATGGATCGTGACAGAAAAGCCCAATTCATATCCACCACTTACTTCATGTCCTCACTTCAAAAATATTTCTTCCCCTCTGCTCCCACGTATCTTTTCTTAAATTATTTCTATACTGTTGTAGACTCATCTTGCCTCCCCAGCTTGTTAATTATCCTAAGAGGTGGTGGGAGGGGGGATGTCACACCCTCCTCCTCCTCCTCGGTGTTTCCCATCACAAAGTCTGGGACGGCCTCAGCCCAGTGATGTCTAACAAATGCTCAGAGTTGCTAAGGAGGGCTTAAAGAGGGCTTGTGCTCAGTCCTTGTCCATATCTGGATCGTACTTCCTAGGCTACAAGAACAGACAAGGGATTTTTATGAAGAGGAGAAGTGGGGGCGGGCAGGGGCGGGACCTGAGGGTGGGGCAGGGGGGAACTTACCTTTACACTGCAAACCCTGCCGCAAGAGGCCCCAGAGCAAGGACCCACAGTGGTCACAGAAGGTGGGGACCTTGTAGTTGTGGATGCCGAACTTGTGGGGCATGTTGACGCTGAACCGCTGGGAGCCCACCTGCGGGAATGGCAAGACACAGGGTCACCGCCCAGCTCCTTTCTGCCCTGGAGTTCTCGTCACCGGACTCTTACAGAACTTCTCTCCCAGATGGCATGTGTCGTCGTAGGTGGCAGGCCCTAGCGTGGCTCTGAAAGCTTCCCTAGGTGGGAGGTGAGGCAAAGGGAGCCTCCACCCTGGCTGGACCTTCACTCCGGGTGGCCCGTCAGACCTGCCAGTCCAGGCCTGCCCCCCTCATTGGTCACCCCACACCAGGACTTCAGGCCTCTACAGGACCACAGCACACAGCCCTCGATTTGCACCTCACACTTGGGCTACTCGTGAGATGTCACCACGGGCCTTCGATGCTGCTTGTGCATGGAAGCACCGCCCAGGCAAAGGGTCTTCCAGCAGCTCAACGGGGGACACGGCATTGGATATAGCAGCAGGTGAACTCAGCATAGTCCTGGAAATCATGGGTCATCTGTTAGGACTAATAATAATTGGGATAAAGATAGCCAAATACAGAGTGGTGACACTAACTTGTCAGTGCTGATCACACGCCAGGCACCATCATCTCAGTTAGACCTCACCACCCCATCCATGGGGCAGGCCCATGGTTACCCCAAGTTCACAAACAAGGGAAGAAAACATGGTGGGACTGAGAAACGTGTCTATAAACCGATGAGAGGCAAAGGCAGGCTTCCAGCCTGAGTGTGGACTCACTCAGACCCAGGCTTTCCGCCTATGATGCTGCCTCTTGCTGAGTATTGAAGGGGTACAGAGAAGGCGGCAAGATGGAAAGGGAGAGAGGTGGGAACAAGCAGGAGTCCAGGCGTGGGACCTATGGGTCTGAGGTTGCCACAAACCACTGGGGTCTCAGGTAAGCCCCTTGATGCCCCCCCCCCCCCGCGCCAGGTAACAGGACCTCGGGGTCAGTGAGACAGCAGGGTAGAAGAGGTGGGAACCACCAAGAGCCCCACAGAAGGGGTCTTCAGCGTGGGCCACCTCCCTGGGCTGCCTTTGCCCCTCCACAGAGCTACCCTCTGCTTGTGTCTCTAGTGGAACAGACGCCTGAGACACCTGTGGTCAGGGAAGGATGTCGCTTTTGCTGCCCTGGGAGTTAGGAAGTAGTCAGCATGCAACTAGGCAGCGGGGCCCTGGCTCCCTGTGAGTGACAGGCCCCTGTGGGGACTAAGGAGAGGGGAGGCAAAGGCCGGACAGGGGCCCAGGCTGGAAGGCAAGCATAAAGGCACAGGTGCCCACGTGCTCTGTGTCACCTGACCTCACACCACGTTCCCCATCGCCCAGCTCCAAGGAACGGCTGGTCCTTCCACTGGACTAAGATTTTACTGATTCCTGCTTCGGATGCATGGGCTACCAATTAGGGTTCTTGCCTGAGTACAGGATTCCCAGGATTTATTGAAAAAAATTGTACTTGCTCCTGCTTGGATTCATAGCTTGGGTGTGCCTATTTGTGAATACAGACGTGTCAACTTTGTAACTGCCTGCCTCACCGCTGAGGATGTATGAGATCACTGTGCCCACTCCATTCCTGCTAATCCCAAAGACACGGCAGCTCCCTGAAAACAGAGTCCTGCTCTCCTCCCAGGAATAGCCCCAGCGAGACAGGAATGACAGACTAAGGTGGGAAGGTGGGAAAGCTGTCCCAGGTGACCGGGAGATTCAGCGTGGGGTGGAGAGCACTGTGTGGCCCTCAGGTGGGACCACTAAAAACTCTACGGTATCAGAACGGTGGGAGGAGATGAAGGACACACACGCGAGCACACCACGGAGTCAGACAGACTGGGAAGCAAATCCAAAGACTGAACGGCGCCGGTCGGATACACACACGCTCCTGCTGGGGAAGACAGAAAAACAAAGGGGCGAGCAAGACTCAGAACACAGAGAGATCAGAAAGACAGAACTGTGAGATAAAAAGAGAAAAGAAGAAGGTGACAAAGGGAGACAGAGCATTCCTTGGTTATCACAGCTGGAAGCGCAGGGAGGGTGCGAGTCCTCAGCTAACACAGATACAAGACGGGGGGGTTACCAGCTATGTGCTCCTGGTGCCAAATATTTAAGGAGCCTGTCCTCAGAGCACCTTTGATAGGGAGGAAGGCATTAGAAGCATGGTGTTTAAGGGTACCTGTGTTTGCGGTATGTGTGTACATATATGTGTGTGCACACGTATCACACTAAAGGTGGTCACACAGAAGAATGAACTCCGAGCTTGGTCCCCAGCAGAGGTTTGCCCATGGCCCCAGAGGGCCAGATAGGCTGCCGCTGATGGAGACTGGCCTCGGGAGGCTTGAGACAGTGGCAGGGAGAACCAGGACAGGTCATCGATCCTGCCCAGCTAGGAAACCTAAAGCCTCCCTTCCTCAATCCCTGGTAATTTGTCCCTTGGGATACATGCCAAATCAGAGGACACACCTCACTGGAGAGTTTTCACTGCTCAATATGCCAGGAGAGACGGTCAGAAGAACTAGATCACAGATGAAGCTGGGTTCTGGCATTTCCAATCTCAACTCTGTAACCTGAATGGCATGGACTCTTACGGGACTTTTCCCTCCAGGGAAGTGTGGACAAGCTTTAGAAACCTGCAGAGCCTCACAGGGGATGAGGCCTGTGAGATCCTCGAGGGTAGGACTGCTGTGCTCCTTAGTTCCCAAGGGACATGGCACAGTGCCTGCCATACAGGACATGCCTAATAAATGTTCACTGCAACGTCCACAGGCAGGCAGGCAGGCAGGCAGGCAGCAAGCAGAGCAGGCCATCTCTTTTTTCTACGAACTTGGGAAAGCAATGGGGCTAATGGTGTACTTGGACCACGAGCCCAGACCAGGAGTCAGGAAACATGGGTGGCTGACTTGCAATTGTCAGCGAGACAGGAGGACCCCTGTGAACAACTTGGCTCAGTCTAAGCCTGTCCCTCGCTGCTTCCCAGAGATGGTGTGAAAGCTAAAGGAGATAGAGGATGGGAAATGCCTCCAATACCAAGATGCTATTTGCTTGAATTATTAAGTGTCTCCTGTTGGAAGCCAAACTTGCTCATCATAAACCAAGCTGACTATAAACCTACCCAGGGCCCCTCTCTTTGATCCTCAACTCTAACAGGCTGTGATGATACAGCATTATTTCACCTAGAATTGGAAGCATGCCTTTGAAACCAGCTGTTCTGAACACAGAACACCTATACCCACGTTCACATTGTCATCTTCCTCGAAAGGGTTTCAGTCTACCAGTGGTAGCTTCATTCTCCCAACCACTCAGGGGAAACCTAGCTTTGCTGTTGAATTTTCTTGCTTCCTTATCCCAATGATGTCCTTAATAGCCCATGTGACAAGAGTTCCTGAAATTCAGAGGCAACACAGTGCAGCAGTCAAGGGCTCAGACCCCAGGACAGACCACCCAGGTTTGAACGTGGCTCTCAGGCATGCGATTTGGGGCAAGTTAATTTGACCTCTCTGTGCTTCTCTCTGTTTTAAAATGAGAGTAACATCTACCACACTGAGGTTGTTATGGAATTAAATAATATATGCTAAAGTGCTTAAATCAGGGCACGAAAGTGCCCAATGGCTGCTATTATCATGGTTATTTCCGCCTCCTAAGTACTCCTTGGGCTGCTCATTCCACTCCATTTCCCCATCAGCTCATTAAAGATAAGGTCCCTGCTTGTGTGTCGTTCTATCACTGTTTAGCGCCTGCGTGGAGCGGGTGACACATCAGCCACTTCAGTGTTCCGATGAGATAACAAAATAAAAGGATTCACATTTTCCTTGTGGGTGTGAGCTCTGGGATCGCACGGTGCTTGGCATAGTAACGTCCACAGGGACGAGACTGACCTGGAGCTGCTCTCATCACACAGACCCCGCCTCCTGCCAGGAGACCGTGGACAGCTCCCTTTGGTTTTGGTCAACACATCCAAGAAAGTGGTGGGGTCTCAGAGAGAGGTGGTTTTCTCGGGGACCACAGAGCAGGCAGTGAAGGGAGGGGTTGGCAGTGAGGAAGCCCAGTGCTCCCATGTCACAAATACTTACCTGGTCGGGAGTCTCCTGTCTCTTTAATCCAGCGCACTTGGTGATTATGAGCTCGTGACATCGCTTGTGGACCACGCAGGTGCAGACTGCAAACAGCAAAGATGGGATGGTTGAGTGACAAGGGAGCACCTGTCCAAGGGGCCAAACAGGTCTCAGGGGAGGGACAAGGGGAGCCACGCCCCTTCTGTCACTGAGCCCTAATACCCTCCCCAAAGCTCGTTATGCAGTTATTTCAAAACACTCTGCCACCAGAGTCATCAGGATTTTTTAAATGCTCTGGAGAGCAATGACACATTTATAGTCAAAGGCATCAGCAGATTTCTCTAGTTCAGGGAGTACTGATCAATTTTCTCACTTCCATATGCCAAGGTCAGGGAACAACTTCCTTCCCATGGAACACTGTCTACTAAAGGTACAGTTGCCCCGTGCTCCACTCGGGATCATGCCAGGGAGGCTGACGTGATACAGGGAGAACTGCAGCAGGCAGCACAGGAGCTCTCAGGCTTTTTTTATCTGGTTGAGCCCTGATATGCCAAACTTCAAAGTTCCTGTTGCATTTAAAATGTCTACAAGGAGCGAGCTGTAGCTCTGTCTCTAGTGTCATGGGGCAGTCTGGGTGATAGGTAGCCAGGAGGTAAGTATCTCTCTGTCTGTACACACGTTGTCCGAGAGACACAGCAAGCTCCCACAGAACCTGCCCATGTTCCCCCAAGGGTGAGACCCGAGTTAAACAGCACCGGGCAAAGAGACGGACTGACTTTCTTGTTCTAACCGCATAGAAACCTCAACGTGACCACATCATATTTCCACCCTCCAATTCTGTACAGCTTAACCTTGCATTTGTAGTCAATTAACCGGAAAACAAAATAATCTTCAATACCTTCAAGGGAGATTTAAGATTTTAAGAGCTAATGATTCTACAGAAGAGACAAGAAAGCGATCAGCAAGGAGTATTCAGTGGTACTGCATTAAACGAGCAGGGCGGGGAGCTGCTGGCGTACACAGCCTGGCTCAGGACACAGCAGGACTTTCAGGTAGTCTCTAGGTGAAGCAGGATGTCTCATTAGGAAAGACGAAAGTGCTCTCTGCACCAACAGGTACTCAAAGGCGGGGTGGATTGGGGGCTTGCTGAGACCACAAGGGCACCTGGAGATGGGTAGCACCTGCAAGGTGCCTCCTGTATATATGCTCCCATCTATGCACATGGGAGTAACAGCCAGGCAGGGACAAAGAAAGCAGGGTCCTGCCACTCCGAGATGAAGCATATGCACACAGACTGTAGAGAGCTTCCAAATGTGATGAAACCCAGCATGTGCTTCCTACAAGCATTACTGATCTGGAGCTAACCGTGGGCCTCTAAAGATTTAGTTCATAAAATACCTCTTACCTTGACATTGGTATCCCTGCTTTCCTATGACACCCCTGGAAAAGAAGATACAATCATTTAAAAAAGTAACATTTTACCAGGTCAAAAAAAAAAAAACAACAAACAAACATGCAAAGCCATGCAATTCTGGCCCCTACCCACCTCACACCAGTGCATTGAGTCCACGAGCAGTGCGATCTTACTTCTACTTGCAGGGTGCCTTAAAATGCCTCTTTCTAGAAGGCCACAAGAGGGCAGCCCTGGCACTTGGAGAGGGTGAAGGTTTGGCCAGTGTCAGAGCTTGGTTTCCTGTACAGATAACCACTCCAGCGGGGTCAGCAGTGTTCTGGAAAGCCACAACGACCCTGCTCGCTCGGGGCAGGCCTCGACCAGTCACACATCCCTTCCTCGTGGACAGCAGGGGCATTCCTTGTCTCCCAGCACCGGGACACGCTCCGCGGGCTCTCTAGCTTTCCCACTGTGGAGAGGAGCTGCGGCTGGCCTGGGCGTTCTAGAGACCACCAAGGGATCGGGCCAGTCTGTGGCCAGGACTCAGGGTCCAATCCACCCTTTAGAAGTTCCTTCCATGGTCAGAGTAGGGTCCCCAGGGCAAGGCTGAACGGCAGCATGGACACAGATCAAACCAGCCGGGCCTCGCCCTGTCCTCAGTGTACCAACGCCGTTTTGTCAGCAAGCTCCCTGCGGTTCCCAGCCCAGCGGGAGAGCCAGAAGTCATCCGGCTACACCCCAGGGAACCTAGAGCTCAGCAGTGCTTGCCCTGGGCTTAGAGGACACCTGGATCTACCTACGTAAGGCCAATCACTCAATTCATGACCAAAACATGGAACGTGGAGGTCAGAAGGCCAAGTCCGCCCCGGGAATTAAAGCTGTCTGTGGCTGGAACGGGGTATTATTTGTGCTTCGGTTGGGCTGAGCTTGCTCTGAGCCGCGTCGTCTCAGACGTCCATGCCAACCTTGGTGACTTGCTCGATAACACCATGGGGATGAGACAAGAAACTCTCAGATACTTCAGGCGGCCAGGGGGTCCTCAGAGCCCAATTCAAATGTCCCCCGGCTGTGTTCACACTGAAACCTGGCCTCACACACCCTCTCCTCTTGAATCTGTGTGTGGGGGCAACCTCTATGTCAGCTCCGAGCAGCTCAGAGAGCTTGCCAGACAGGCTAGGGGGCATACGGAAAGCGTGACGGTTACAGACAGGCTAACTGGGGGTGGAATCGTGACACTCCGACACTTCCTAGCCAGAGGACATCAAGCTAGTCTCATTTTCATTTCTGAGCTTTGGTGTTGTTAGTGGAATGGTTCCTAGTTCATAGAATATCGGGAAGATTTAATTAGATATTTCCAGTGCCTAAGATAGAACCTGGCATATGGCAGATGTTCATTAAAAGTCCTCCTCCAACCCTAAGACGAGTGCTCCATATCCTTCTCTACCTCCCAAAAGGCCTACTATCTACCCTCTCTGCCTAGCAAATTCCTAGTCATCATGAAAGGAGACATGCCACCTCCTCCAGGAAGCCTTCCCTTACCACTCCAGCCAACACTGTTCTCTCACTCCTGTGATATTTCAATAACCTAGTAGAAGCACTGTTAGAACAGCTACTAAGAATTGCTTTGTATTACAGATATTGGCAATTGAATATTTTTAACTTCATTATGAAAAAATTCAAAGGTATAAAAGTAGAGTGGCAAATATAATAGATCCTCATGTACCCATCACCCAACTCCAACAATTTTCAATACATGGCCCCTAGCCTCTCTCCCCTCCTTCAAGAACTGGTTTTTGTTTTTTTTTTTTTTTTATACACCTGGGAGGAAGTATAGAACTGGTTTTTGAAATAAATCCCAGACATTATATCGTTTCATCTGTAAACAATTCAGCTTGCCTAAAAGATAAGGATTCCTTTTACAAAACAAAATCACAATATCATTATCGGCTATAAAATCTTAACTCCTTTGATATATAACTCTAGGTGAAAAGTCACTAAGAATCATCATTTCTTTTTCCCATTTATTCTCCCACCCCGTGCACCGCACACACACTTAGCTCCCTCCCCGTAGAAAAATCTTCTGTAATTGGATAAGGAAGAAATAAAGCACATTAAGCACCTTTTACATGAAGTTCCTAGCCTCTCCCGCCCCATCCCTGGCTCCTTGCCGAAGCCATAACTCAGGGTTCGCAGGAGAGAGGCGCTTACCAGATGAAATCTCTGCAGTGGGAGCAGTAGGTGGGCTGCCGAAGATAGGTGGCCATGAACTTGTGGCCATTGACCTGGTGGACCCTGCGCCGCACGGCCCCCTGCCGCTTCCTCGGCCGCATGCGCTCCCGGAACACGCGCTCCTCATTGTCTTTAGGGGCTGGGGAGGGACAAGAGCAGAGAAGACCACAGAGTCTGGGTTAGTACGCCTTCGAATGACCTCCTGCTGGAGAGTGACTCCGTCCTTGGGGGGGTGGTAGGCAGCCTCCCCCTGGGGAGGGGTTTGAGGGTCCAAGGAGTCTCACCGCTCAGCCGCAGCGCGTGAGCGCACACGGGGCGGGGCTGCCCAGACCACGCATGTCGCGCTGCACCCACGCCGCACCCTCGGGTCCGTCCCCGTCCGCATTCTGCGCCCTGCCGCCCGCCTGCCGCACGTTTCACGGGCCCGGGGTCAAAAGGCTCAAGGTTTAAAGCTTAGTGCGGTTTCTGAGCAGAACGCCCCTGGACACACAGCATTTCCTCGCCCTGAGCATCGGAGGGCAGCGAATCCCCACACCCCAAGCCCCCTGGCTCAGAGAAGTAGATGCCTAATACAACTGCCTTCTGCCGTCTCCCTCCTACCAGACCAGGACAACCCTTACCAGAACCCAACCATGCTGGCACCCTGGCCTTGACTTCTGCCCTCCAGAACTATGAGAAGTAAACGTCTGTGGTTTAAGCCGCCCAGTCTTCGGAAATTTGTTATGGCAACCAGAGCTGAGACGGCCATAGTGGGTAATGTTTATAGTGGGCTTACACTGTGGCAGGTGCCATGCTAAGGGCGTTACATGTAGTAACTCACTGAACCCCCACAACAACCCTACTTGGAGGGTACTACTTTTATCCCCATTTCACAGGTGTGCAAAGTGAGGAACAGAGAGGTTAGGTAACCTACTGCTGTTAACTCAGCTATTAAGTGATGGAGCCCAGATTTTAACTCAGAGAGTCGGGGAGAAGCCAATGTTCTCCTGTGCACACACTGCCCTGCCCACGCTGCCTTCAGCAAGTCCCCGAAGCTCACATCACAAAATAGTCGCACTGCTCGTAGCATCCAAGGGCAGAGTGGGCAGGCTCTGGGTTCCCTGCCAGGCTCCTAACACCTTCACGCAGGCCACAGAAGGCCCCCCTCCACAGCGCTCCGCAGCTTCACATGCACTGGATGGCTTCGTGTCCCCAAAGACCTCCTGCACCAGGGAGGTCGGCCAGGGCCTGACCTCCCACCCCAACAGCGCCAGTCTTCAGGGGAAGCAGCTCTGCTCCCTCCCGGGCCTCTCTGAATGTGAGCTTCCCTGCAGGGGCAATATCAGGTGTGACTTGAACAGCTCACTAATCCAAGGGCACCTTGTCATCTAGAAAGGGTAGGGCAGAGGACAGTGAGACTAGAGGAGGAAAAGGGCAAGAAGGGGACCAAATGCCCAGCATGTGCTTTTAGGAGAAGCAGCCTCCGAGCAAACAGGGAGCTGTCCCCTGGGTGTGCCCTCGACACCCGGGCTACAGCTTGAAGGGACTCAGCTGGCCCAGGTGGGGGTCTGCTCCCTGGCCCCCAGCCTGCCTGGGTTTCCTTTTTAACTAGTGATTATTGCGTCAAAGAGTGTCTGACTCTGACCACCTTCTGGGCACAGAAATCCCATCCCACTTCCTACTCCTCCCCCACCACAACCTAGGGGCCTCAAGCTGCTGTCCAAATTCTCACAGGAAGACCTCAGTTTGTTTTAATATAGAGACATCTATGCACGTAAACAGACAGACAGACAGACACACACACACATACACACACAAACCCACAGAAGCATGCCGAAAATCATTCAGTCCTCCACTTACAGGTGATTTTTATTTCCACTTTGTACTTTCACTATATTTAGAATATTCTTATAAGCAGAAAAAAAAATGCAATAACCCAAACCCCAAACCTATTCAGTGGCCCTTACTTGCTGCAAACCCATCTACAAAAATCTAATCCAAAAACCTCAGTCCTGGGCATCTGCAGGCGGGGGATCCAAATTCTCTGGCATCTTTCATGGAAGGGTTCACCACGGAATACGTTTAAGCAGTAAGCCAGTCACCTAATGCATTTAAGATGCGATCTGATTCACAAATCTCTCAAATGTACTAGTCATTTTCATCCTGGAAAACTCTATTTTCAGTTAAAAGGGCGACGAGTCCAATGTAATTTTCTCAGAGGCACACTGCCATGATGGTGTTGGAGTTCTCCCTCCGAGCCTTGTTTCTCCACTTTTTACAGAAATGAATGATGAAAAATGCTCTAAAGTATGTTTACATTGATTTAATGGGGCTATATGGCAAACAATTCAACTGCTTTTATTTTTAAAGCCCTCCCAGTGGGTGCGCTGAAGCTACGGAAAGTTGAGGGGTGGGGGACGGGAGGGCCTCAGGTGCAGCGTGGGAGGCAGACAGCCAAGGACAACTCCTGCTACGTCAGGGTCTGAGCTCAGCCTCCCCAGGGGTTTCTACTGCTCCTCTCCAAGAGCTCGGCTGCATTACCTTTCAAGTCAGATTCTATGTCAAAGAGCTGGGGGGAGAGAGGCTATGGAAGGGGAGGAAGGAAGCCACACAGCAGGCAATGGGAGAAAGGAGTGCAAGTCTGTGGCTGGTGTAAACACCTCCAATTCCACATTCCTCCGGGTAGGGAAGCCAAGGGTCAGCCTATAGTGTCCGGCCCCAAGCACAGAAGCCAGCCAGCCACAGGGTTCCCCAGCCCCCAAGAACCTCACAGCCGGGGCCTTGAGTCCACCGCCAGGAATGAATGGGGTCCTTCAGCATTTCCCACTGCTGTGGAGTGGGGCTCTTCCAAAATGCAGTTCCCATGTATGCATGGATTTATTTCTGGGCTATTTCATTCCATTGGCCTGCATGTCTGTTTTTATGCCAGTATCACACTGTTTTGATTATTGGAGCTTTGTAATATATTTTGAAATCCAGAAGTGTGATGCCTCCAGCTTTGTTCTTCTTGCTCAAAATTGCTTTGGCTATTCAGTCTTTTGTGGTTCCATAAGACTTTTAGGATTGTTTTTTCTGTTTCTGTAAAAAAACTTGCCTTTGGGATTTTGATAGGAATTATATTAAATTTGTAGAGCTCTTTGGGAACTATGGACATTTTAACAACATTAATTCTTCCAAATCATAAAGAGTCCATGGATCTTCAATAAGGGTGGCAGGAATATACAATGGGGGAAGGACAGTCTCTCCAATAAATGGTGCTGGGAAAACTGGACATTCATGTACAAAAGAATGAAATTGGACCCTTATACCATACAGAAAAATCAACTCAGAATGGATTAAAGACTTAAATAAAGACCTGAAACTGTAAAGCTCCTAGAGGAAAACATAGGGGGAAAAGTTTCTTGATGTTGGTTGATCTTGGCAATGATTTCCTGGACATGATATCAAAAGGCAACAAAAGCAAAAATAAACAAGTTGGACTACAAACAAAAAACTTCTGAACAACAAAGGAAAAAATGAGCAGAATGAAAAGGCAACCTACAGAATGGAAGGAAATATTAGAAATATTTTATTAATAAAATAATGGAAGAAACCATATACCTATTAAGGGTTAATATCTAAACTACATAAGGAACTTACCACAATTCAATAGCAAAAGACAAATAATTCAATTTAAAAACAGGCAAAGGAACTGAATAGACATTTTGCTAAAGACAACATACAAATGGCCAATAGGTATATGAAAAGATATTCAACATCACTAATTATCAGAGAAATGCAAGTTGAAACTACAATGAGATATCACTTCACACCTGTCAGGATGGCTATTATCTCCCCCCCCCAAAAAAAAAACACACAACACCCAAAAGACAACAAGTGTTGGCAAGGATGTGGAGAAAAGGGAACCCTTGTTCACTGTTGGTGGGAATGTGAACTTCTATAGCCACCATGGAAAACAGTATGGAGGCTCAAGAACTACCATATGATCCAGCAATCCTTTGGATGGATGTACATCTAAAGGAATTAAAATCAGGACCTTAAAGATATATCTATACTTCCATGTTCACTGAAACATTATTCACAAAAGCCAAGACATGAAACAACCTAAATACCCACTTATAGATGAATGGATAAGGAAAATGTGGTATATGTATACAATGGAATATTATTCAGCCATAAAAAGGAAATCCTGCCATTTGGGATAACATGCATGAACTTGGAGGATATTATGCTAAGTGAAATAAGCCAGGACAAATACTACATGATGTCACTTAGAAGCAGCAGCTAAAATCGTTGAACTCATAGAAACAGAATGCAGAATGGTAGGTGATGGGAGTTAGCAGGGGACTCAGGGAGGTATTAGTGAAAGGGTACCAAGTTTCAGCTAAGCAAGATGAATAAGTCCTAGAGATCTACCGTGCAGCATGGTGCCTATAGTGAACGATACTGTACTGTGTACTTAAAATTCTGCTAAGAAGGTAGATCTTACATTAAATGCTATCAAAAAAATAAAAATAAAATGCAGCCTTCATGGCAGAGGGAATACATCATGTGTGTATAGTGAGAGAGTGTGTATATAAATGTGTATGTATATATTAAATATGTATGATTTATATAACATATTGATCTAGGATAGTATGTTATATATAATATACACATAGTTTTGTTAAACTGTTTGAAAGTAGCAGGCGTAGTAACACTTTGCCCCTAAATACTTCAGCCTTTATCTATTACAAAGACATCCTCCGACATCAGAGTCGAGAAATGTAACATGCTATGACATTATGTAATATGTTGTTCATATTTAAATTTTCCCAATTTGATACCCAAATGTCCTTCATAGTTTTGTTCTTTTTAAAATTTTAATGCAGGAGCTAACCAGAGCTTGTGTACTGCATTTGGTTGCCATATTTCTTTTGTCTCCTTACTTTAGAACAGTTTCCTTTACTTTTTTTCCTTTTTTGATACATTATGGAAAGTTCAAGATGTCATTTTATGGAATGTTTCACCATCTGAATTTATCTGATTGTTTCCTTGCAATTAGTTTCAGATTAAACAGCAAGACAAAAGTTCTATGTATCTACAAATTCAAATATCTCCATCAAGATTCCTGTAGACAACTGTTTAAATGACATAAACATAAAATTTATGGAAGAAAGA